GTCTGAGAGCCTGGTCACCTGGAATGATTGCTATTTAGGAAAGGATATTTAAGGAAAACAGTGGTACTCATTTCCGTGACATCCCAATTGTTACCCTCTGCCATGGATCTAACCAGTTCCCAAGACAGACCTTCTACATGCTGCCTGCCATGCTGCTCAAAGGGCCATCCACCCCTGTAGCTGAGAAGGACCAGCCTGCAGAAGCACTTGACTACACTGCTTTCCTCCAGTCCTGCTCCTCAGTGCTCCTGGCTGGCCGTTCACATGCAGAGGAAAGACTGGCAAATGCTCTTCTGCTCACCCAGTGCTGCATAGAGCGCTCCTTTCCCTGCAAGGGCTGCTCAAGAAACCTGAACGAACAGTGCTGTGGCAGCCTACAGCGGGAGGAATACTAGATGGCAACCCTGCCTGTCTCACGGCTTTGTGCATCCGACAAGGTCCTGCTGCGCTGGAGTTCCCTGCACCGTGTGAATTCCTTTCTAAATACAGCAGATTCTTTCCCAGCGATATCGTACTTGAACTGCCATTTAGTACTTACATGATGGGCACCATTATTCATCTGGAAAAAACAATTTGCTCTCATAATGATCAAATTCTCCTCCCTTCAGATTTTGACCTCAAAAACTAGACAGTGGCCGTTTGTGCATTGTTTTTAACACTACAGTAGCCTAAGTCTCACTAGCAGTCCAAAGGTGCAGACTCGGAAAGCATGATGTTTAGCTGGATGTATTTAGAAAGCAATATAGCCTACTTAACAATTTACAGTTGTCAACAAACCACAGGGAATACTGTTTATTCCAGAAACCTTGTGCAGCTTGCTTGATGCATTTTTATAAATACAAATAAAATTCCTTTGCAAACAACTTTAAAGCCTTGTGGATTTAAAATTAATTTAGCCTTTTTACTCATATGTTCTTTAAACTGCAGGTTTTGCATTTTTATTAAAATGAACATTCTCTGAAGATGTGAATATTTGTCACAGGATGCCATCAAGCTGCCCCACGGTCTCTCCCCTTTTGTGGGTAGCAGTAAAATACAATATTTTATCAGAGGATAAAACATTGAGAGCTGTTAAGCTCTCAAACTGAACAATGGCCCACAGAGGAAAGCAGATAAGCATTCCTGTCTGCCATTCAGCTGTAAAATGCATTCACGTGTTATAGCTGTAAGATGTCATTAAAAAAATTACTGAAACTGAGGAAACATGTAGATAACTGTAAACCACCATGGAATAATTAGATATAGGTAAATACAATGTGATCTAAAGAATACCTACAGTTCAACAATCATTACCTTCCTAAGGGTAGGACAGCAAAGGTAGTTCTAGAGGAAAACCTGCAGCAAAGCATATCCTTCCATAAATATGTGCGTATATAACTTGTACTGTAACACAAAACATAGGAAAGAAGACAGGAAGGCTCTTCTCTGCTCAACAAGCAGCGTGGCACTCACCATGTCTACCTCGTTCACTGTACCATGATAGCCTACAGTACCTCATCTTAATTCTTTCTTTAATGTAGTTATCCGTAATCTTACTATTTTGCATCCAGGAGAAAAATAAGAAATCCAGAACACTAATAACCGATGAAGTTTTGTAAATAGTACAACCTAAATAAACATAGGCATATTTTTACTTACATATTCTGTACCTCTATCTAGATAATGTTTGTGATAAATGTCTGCGTAAGTTGAGACAATGCAGCTTTGTGATCGAGTACCGTAATGCTTAGCCTGCAGCTGGCTCACAGGCAAGCTTGGGTATTACTACAGCATCTTTTTTTACTTCAATATCCTGTGCAGTGATCATAGCTGGAAAGGAAATTGTTTTCCTGTCGTGTGAATTATGCTTGAATGTAGAAAAAGCGTTCACATTCCACACCAGGAAAGGTCCCTCAATGGACTGGCTAGCACTTATAAATACAGCTCTGTGAGATGTGAGAAATGAAGGCTCAGGTCACTGCTGCCATCTCTCCATATCCAAAGCGAGTGGCTGAGCCAGCCATCCACTGACACACTGAATCTGGGTTGCAGCAAGTGAAACTTCCCATTACAGCCAGGAAGGACAAGAGAACTTAAAAATGTCTGACTAGAGCCCAGCAGGCCTTCCTTCTCACTTTTTAAAAGTTCAGTGTCTGGCAAAAAATCACCTTCATGACATTTCTCATGACCAGTCTCACAAGTTTTTTGAGGTACTTGGGTGAACAACAGAACGCCTGCAGGTATAGCGAGCAGAAACTAGAGCTGCCCAGCTCAGACCAGCTGTGCAAGAAGGGACAAGGAACTGGACCCAGCCCAAAGGGGAATACTGTCTATGGCATCATGTGAAAGCTGGCTACGAAAAGGATTGGGAGTAACAGTTCTAATAAAATACTGGATGAGGACTGGTTTTTGAGTGGTTTTACTCATTGGAGCAGAGGACTAACTAAATTACTAGTTGGGTAACAGTAAATAGGGAGAAAGACTAGTTTGGTCCAAGATAAATGGGGCCAACTGATTTCAAGCTTTACAACGTTTAGCTTGCCTTTGTTTTAATGGCACGTTTTACAGTTCATTGTAGCTTCCTGGTCAAACAGCACCCAGTCTTCCATTTTAAATCCATCCACCTTTGGAAAGAGTAATTCTTTTCAAACTTTGCACTTGCCTAAGCTGTATGCCAACTTGCAGCAATTTAATAATAACAAAAAAAAAATCTAAGCAGGGGTCCATCACATTTATTTTATGTTTATGAATATGAGCATTCAGGGCTCTTATAAAACATTTAGGAAGCATCAACAAGATTAAAGTTATTTTTTGCAAAAAGAAATGAATTGTACTTTAGTCAAAATAAAAAGCACTCCCTTTGTACACCTGTAAATTAAAAAGAAAAAGGGTAGCTTTTTTGTGATTCATCAGAATTTTCAAACAGATTGTACCTGGTGCACAAAAAAAGCTAAGTATTGTCATGTCAACATACACACATTCCTCTGGAAAGAGGGTAAAGAAAAGAAATCCTCCTTTTGTTAAGGCCACACAATATTAGCTTGTAAAAATCCTATTTCCTTCTATTCATTAAAGTGAGGATGAAGTCCTGGCCTCTATGCAACTCAACAACTACTTCACTGTTGTCTTAAAAAGCATTTTGACTTGTTTCAAAGAAATGTGTGACATTCTTCATGTCCATGCTCAAAATGATACAATGCAGAACTTTCCCACATCCTACCATTGGAAAAATGCTGTATTATGACACTACTGAGGTGTAAAGTAGTGGGACATTCTCAAAGACAAAGGGAAGGTAAGTAGTTGACTGGCAACCACTTTAAGTAGGGTTGCATGGACAGATGGCAGGTTCTTGAATCCTTTCGCCACCTTTAGAGCGGCTTAAATTTGCAGCAGTGTAAAAGAGTAGATGTTGTTCCATTTTGCACATAATATGAACATAACAAATGAACCCGTCAAAAATATATCAGTAAGTAATGAGAACTTCAACTGGTAAAACAGAAACGTTTGTATTCCCTTTCTCTCCATCTACTTTTCTTATACATTGTACTACAGAAGCTAGATAAGAACCAAGAGTTATTTTTCAAATAACGCATTTTTAATTCCTCAGGTTTATCTGGTCAAAAGTTAGCAAGATTCAGTATAGAATTCAGTACAAACTATTAATGATTAACACAAATATTGCTGTGTTTGGAATGAAATACGGACAGCATTTTCCATTTCACGTTTGTTTTCTCTTTTAGAATGTGGTTTTAGAAATGGGTTAAACTACATAGATTATCTAAGAGCAACCAGTTTACACTTAGAGGTTTAGATTTTGCTAACATTAAACCCTCATTTTAGCAGCTTGGCCATTTGAAAGGACTGCAAAGTGGGGGTGAAGTACTTTAAGAGCTCTTCTGTGTAGTGATGGGAATAGAAAGAAGTGTTAGGACACATGACAACCAAATCCACGATGTTATATTAAAAAAGTGCAATTAGCTTTGGGCAGTGAGAGACAATTTTGGACCTGATTTGAGCTGCACAGAAGTGAGCAGAGATCTTCCCCAGAGGCCATGAATTGGCCTGTGTGGCATGAGCCCTACTGCAGCAAATTAAATTAAGGCCGTCCTAAGTCAACTGCGGTGCCTGCCTTTGCCTTTCTCCTGTGGAAGGAGGACCTGTGGCCTGTGATACAGGCTGAGAAAGTCCTCTGTTAGGTTTGTTCTAACTGAAAAGGCTTGAGTAGCTTAGCCATCTCTTTGCAGACATCTCTTTGAAGCTCAGGTCTTGATCTGCATGCTCTGAATGCCAGGTCTTCCATCTCTATGATACCATTACTCCCTCCCACTGCCACCTAACCTGCTCCAAGGCTGGTTACGTTGCGGGAGCCCCCGCTTCCCACGCTAAAGGAATGCAAGTAACTTCAGAGTGTGTTCTCAGAGGTAATAGCCTCTTAAGTATGGGAAATATGCCAATTAATACATATTTATTAGTCAATTTAAAGGTCATGCCCAACAACATGGATGGGAGGTACAAGTTTCGATAACTTAATTGCACTTCTGGATATCTAAAAATAACTTTGCTCAGCATAAATATGACAAACTTTTGTAAAGCATACATAAGATATTTTGTTTTTAAAGCACAGCCCCATATATTACCAATAACACACACAGCTGAGAAACACATCTCAGAAAATAAGGGCCAGTGTGAAATGTTTACTGAAAAGATGTATTTCTAGAGATGCCGGGGCTAGGTCTGACAATGATTCATTCATTCATCTTAATAAGCACTCAAACAAATTACCAACGATGGCTCTTTCATCTCTAAATCCCAATGGGGCTCGGATAGTAATCTGGAAAATGTGCTTCGGCCAAATACTAATATGGGGCTTAGTACACGAACAAACAATCTTGAGTTATATGAGAAGCCACAGCTAGCTGATCCACTAGTTCCCTGGCTTTTAAATACATTAATAGGAGTTACTTCCTGAGTCCTCTTCACAAATGCAAGTTCTGCTCATAAACATTAAAATTCAACATTACCTGACTGACAAACATGAGAAGAAAGTCGGCCATCAGTTTGCTTATCTTTGGACAGCATCACGGGTCTCAGCTGATGTGACAATATCATTTCATTTAATTTTTGCTGCAATGCTAAGTAGTCTTCAGATAATTTTGATATCTAAAAATATAACATGAGATTTCACATTATTATATAAATAAGTATATATACTTCAAGGTAAGCAACAGTAAAATGGTGGACTGGAAAATAAATATAAATGGTATTGCTCCAGCTACTTTAATGCAGCCTCTCAGCTGCATTACTCTCAGCATTTACTCTCTCTTTTTCTAAGAAAAAAAAAAAGGCAATGTAAGAAATGCCATGCTGCAGCCCAGTCCTGCAGCTACCTCATATCAGTTCTTTCGTACTGACGTCAGGGGATGCAGGGCAGCTGCAGAGCAGATTCTGCAGCTGCAGGAGTACTTCTCTGCACATGTATAAGCCACTGATGCTGAAACAGCAACTTACAGAGTTTTGTTTAGAGAGATGCTTCACAAGTTGCTGAATTAAGGACCTTACCTGGTAAATGTGAGCATTTCAACAAACAAAGCCAAGGCTTCTGTATTTAGGTTAAAATTAACCTCACTTTTCTCCAGTTCTTTAACTTGTCTTTCCTCCTTTCCTGAAAGGGTATTTCCCTTTTAGAGCAAAATATGCATTTATATACAACATATGTTACAGAATCTCAGTCTCAATTTAGAGAGCAAAAATTTGCTTTCACTGAAGCCAGTACAATGTCTTTGCCATTCTCCCATCACTCAGTGTATTATGGTTAACATATTTAGCTTATAAGCTTCTTACCTGCCGTGAAAAGGCTGCCAAATCACAAGCCTCTTTCTCTGAGCCTTCCTTAAGAGTCTTATGATCCTCAGCCTGTGTACCAGTGTTTTCCTTATTTTTTGTTGTTTTGGGATCACTATTTTGAATGTGTGCCACTTCTCTTGACTCCTTTATAGTTTTCTCTTGATTTTTGCCAGGTAATTTCCCCTCTTTTCTGAGTTGTCCCCTTCTTTTGTAACCCCGGTAATTGCTCTGAATAACCACTGCTGCCTTCTCTCTGTCTTCGGAATCTTGTTTTTCTACTACAACTTGCTTCCGCGAACCTCTTATCGATTCTTTTCGCGTAATTCCTTTATATCCAGTAGATATCATTGCTTCCTGTTTCAGATGGTTTCTCTCCAGATGCCTGTCAGTCTTGGGCAGGACCACAGCATATACTTTATTTTGCTGATCTGCTTTGACGGTGTCTTCATTAGTTTGCTCTTGCTGGTGATCAGGTTCAGCTGTGATTTTGACAGAAGATTTGTCAGATAGCTGCTCCACAGCAACCTGTTCTTCATCTTCACTAACCTGCTGTTTTGTGGAGTTCTGCTTCAGGGAATCTCCCTCTCCTTTAGTAGATCCTTTCTTTTGTTCCTGTGTGTTCCCTCTGTCCCTGAACCCAGCACACTTGCTGTCAGTAACAGTGTCAGTGCCATTTTGGCTCTCCTTGTTCGCTGCTTTTTCCAATGTAATGTTTTCAGCTGCCTTCACTTCTGCTTCAAGGTATTCCATAGCAGGTAACTCTTCTTCTGCTAGTTTTTTGTGCTGCTCCTTTATTTTTTTACGGGCTCTGTAGCCTCTATAACTGCTCTGAACAATGACAGCTGCTTCTTCTTCAGTCTGAGGAAGGGTGCTCTTGGCTCCAGCTAGATTTTCCTCATCGTCTTGAAGTCTGGCACCCTTCTCCTTTTCATTAATGGAAGTTGTGTTCTCGGTTTGTTCTTTCTTTTGAAGTGACTCCCTGAATAGAATGGAGTTTTGGGGAAATATTACAGCTGAAGGATAGTGACAACTTTACAACTACCTTTGGTAATATTTGTGTACTAAGTGACCATTATCTAAGTGACTAAGATACCTTGCAACATGGATGAGATTTAGTGTATATAGTTAGAGTTAAAGATAGAAAAGAAATCTATGTGTTTTGGGTAACCAGAACTTCTTCAGGTGAAAAGGGCTATCCCTGTTAAACTCCTAACAGAAAATTGCTTGGAGGGCAACCTAGGCTGTATAAGGACAGGCGATATAACAGAAAAGAATTAATTGAAAGTTCAACAAAAGTATAAAGCAGACTCTCCACTAGGCATAAATACATACAACCCTAAATGTATTCTTTAAAGGAAACTGTCTCATGTTGTACAAGGAATGCAAAAAGAATGATTCTGGACATAGAGAAAAAACAGCCTAGTGCTGGGGGTATTCCTATTCCCCAAAACGGCTTTTCACTATCAACAAAACTTAAGGCCCAAGTGAAATATGCTACTCTGCTTCTCCTCTCTGTGTGCTAAGCAAGACTCTGGACTACTCCACAGCTCTTTTCCACCTCTCTGGATCAGGTATGCATGTGATCACTCTCCCCAGAGTCTCCAGCTACTACTTAAAAGCTATCATTGAAAGCAAGACAGAGATGAGCAAAGTGCTATCAGCTCCACTTCCCAGACTTGGCCTGCAGCCATGTTACAGACATATGTAGGGTGTGATTCACCTCCCCTAACTTCTAGCTGCCTGATCTGAGCCAGTCATTTAGGTTCCTGCTGTTGTCAGTGAGGACAGCTCTGCTCATCTCAGACAGTGACTTAAGAGGAGAAGAACAAGTCCTCTTCAGATGCCGATTTCTTTCTCTTGTATGTGATTTTTTTCTATAATGAGCTAGTTCCAAAAAGAGACCCATCTATAGATGATACTAGC